TTCTCCAGGCTAAACAGTCCCAGTTCCCTCAGCCGCTCCTCATCAGACTTGTTCTCCAGACCCCTCACCAGCCTCGTTGCCCTTCTCTGGACACGCTCCAGCACCTCAACGTCCTTCTTGTAGTGAGGGGCCCAAAACTGAACACAGTATTCGAGGTGCGGCCTCACCAGTGCCGAGTACAGGGGCATTTCAACATAAAATTAAAACATTCAAGGTGACAGACAACAAAGAAACTCCAGATTGCTGCATTAGCTGAATTAAAGAAACCTGCTTCCCTCTTGGGGTGGTAACGAGCCCTGGCTGATACCTGCCCGCACTGGGATAGCACCCTTGGGCTTTATCTGGTGTCTGCTGGTGTGGCGGGTCACACTGAAGCCTTTCACGTAGCTGGAGCGCTCGTCTCCTTTACCCAGGCTGTTCTTACGAATTTTGTAGGAACTTCATACCCTTGTCCTGCCACCCGGGTCTGCCGGGTGCAGAGTTACTGTCGCATGGGGATCATTTTAGCCTCTATCCTGGGAAGCCAGGTGAGATGAGAAGTAGGGGCAGATCTTGGGCTGACTTTAGAAATGTTCGTAGCACCTTGTAAAATGTGCTCACAGCACCTTCCCGGGAAAAGCTTTGATGCTGTGTGGTGTTAAGTGGTGAGCTGGCTGAAGGAGAGCTGCTGGCCTCTTACATGGGCGCAAGCACAGACTGTGCAGGGGGAGCATGGGGATTCCGCACGAGGATGCAGCGGGAGCACCAGCCCCAGGGGAAGAGGAGCCACTGGCTGGGCTGTGGCTGAAGCAGCCAGGACAAATGGAGCCAGGAGAGACAGCTGGGAAATGGTAAGAGGACTAGCTTTTTACTTCTGAGTATTATAGTTCTTGTGCTGGTTTGCACCTTCCCGGGGCTGAAGACGGCTGCTGGTGGCAGGCGGGGGCTGAGCTCCGATCATTCCCCCCCAACTTCGGGGGCATCTCTGATTGCTCTCTCTGGCTCCCTAGGCTGCGAGACAACTGCTGCTGGAGGGATTAGTTGGGAATTTCACTTAACAGGGATGAAGGGCTGTCTTCTGGGGCTGGCTAATTAACAGGATTCTACTCTGGTAATTAAATAGCAGTTTGTTGAACACAACTTAGTTGATGAAATCTTTGGAAAACATAACAATTAGCAGGCGAGGAATGTCAACTTTGCCTCAAAAGCCTATCCCCAACCAGTTGCTGGTATGGTTTTAACCTTTTATTCTCCAGCAAAGATGGTATTGACTCTTAATGTATTTGGTTTTGCTGCTGGCATTGGACAACTTCTTCTCTCTCTGCTGTTGCAGCAGCTGGTTCCTCTAGGGCTTCATCTCAGCTGCAGGGGCTTGAGATGTCCCACTTCACTTGCTGCTTTTTCACAAGGCTCTCTGGTGCTGCCTTCTTAAAAGCCAAGGCTGGAGGACAGGAGTGTTTGCCATCCAGAGAATAAATCCGTTGCCCTCCTGCTGCAGGGGCGGTGCTGGGGCTGCCGGCTCAGCCGTGCGTGCCTTTGCACAACCCCGTCGTGCCTCCTCTGCAGGGAGGAGGGTTTCCACCATGGTTACTCCACCCACAGCAGCATCTCCCTCCCCTCTGAGCTACACGTGTTTGAAAGGTCACACGAAGCACACGGGGTTTCCTCACCAGACGCTCGCACCATTCGCATGCACCGAAGCGGGCTGCGGTTGCATATTAAGGCTTCTCTCTGCTGGGCTCTCTCACTTTGTAACGTTGGGGGGCTTTTTTAACTGCCTTTGCAAAGTAGTCCTGGAAATGAGAGACATACCAGAATGAATTACTTTGGTCTATTTGCACCGTGGAGATGCTTGTGGAGTTTTGTTTTGGAGAGTAGGGTTGAAAAAGAGCATGGGTGGAGCGGGAACAAGCCAGAGGGAAAGGTGCTTTTACGTTGTGTGACGTGCCTTAGCAATGCTGCTTGATTGCTGCGGAGGAGCGCATCAAAGTGCCTTCGATTTAAAGCCGCTTCATGCTACGGGCTTTGCTCGGTCTTCTGTGTGCTTTTATTTTAGTATGGCAGGTTCAGGAAGGTTGGCACACTCTCCTCGGTAATAATTAACTAACTTAATACTTCAGAGGGAGGAACACAAAAGCTCCACGGGTCAGAAAGGGCTCAGTCAATGCTCTGCCTTTGCCAGTTGATGGGAGTACAAAAGAAATCACTTTTTATATTCTTCCTATGGCAGGATTGACCAGAGGGGATGAAGCTTAAGAGTTGTCTTAAAACACAAACGTGACTGTGACAGAGGAAAATTACTGATCCCGAGCAGCTTATATAAACCCTCTTGTCTGCACCCGCACACAGAAGGGAGGTGCTTTCATCTGGAAACCGTTCATGTCTTCATCTTTCTACTTCTCCCTCTCTTTCCTCTCTTGTAATGATTCTCTTAGGACGATGAGGAAATTAGATTAGACAAACAGTGGGAGATCCCACAGCTTGCTATAAAAGCCACCCCCAATCTTTGCTACACTTTGACAGCTCTCAATTTCCTAATTTGACAAGTTAATGAAGACTGGATTATTTCCGAAGCCGTACATACCGTGCCGCTGGAGAAGGGGGACTGCGCTCTGCACTGGGACTACCCACCCCAGCACCTTCTTCCCACCCAGGCTGCAAAATCATCATCCCTGGGAGGCAGCGTGTGCTGGAGCCCGGGGTCGGGAGCTGATATTTGCAGCTGCGGTGTTAATGCAGGGCTGTGCGAGATGCTCCCGCGCCGGGAGACAAGTGGACTTGCCTCGGGTGCCTGTGTCATCTCCGAGAAGCCGTGCTGCAGCGTTTGACCTGCCGGTGTTTGGCTTGGCTGGCTGGTACGCTGTTTCCTTCCACGCTCCCTGGGGCTGCGTGCAGGCAGTGGAATGGGCTGGCCGAGCCAGCCAAGCTAAATACAGCAGGAGACGTCCCACTCGCACCTCCCAGGCACGGCATCCCTGGAGTGGGATGGATGCG